CGGTGAGACGGGCTTGGCCCCAGTGTTGGCGCATTTTCTGCCGCGGTGTGAACGAAATGCGGAGTAAAAAGTGATCGCTGCCTAGGGTTTCGCCTAAATTTTCCCATGTAGCATCGCGGATGTGACGGGTGAGGGAGAGGTCGGGGCATGTGTCTCGCGTGACCGAGTTGCCGAAACGTGTGGGTTGTGCCGGATCGGTAAGAAGCGTCAGGCTCAGCGAGGAAATGAGCTCCTTGAGCTCTCTGCCCCGGGCCTTCTCGTAGTGGTAACCCCAGTAAGGGCTGGGGGCATTAAAGTCCCCGACAATCACCAGTGGTTGTCGGGCCGCTATACGCAGCGCCCGATGGAAGAGATGCCCAAACGAAGCCCTCGCAAGGTGAGGGGGACAGTACACAATTCAGATATCTATTGATGGTTGGCCCCTCCGCTGAGACAGCACTGATATCATGCAGTAGTCGTAAGGAAGATCCAGATCGAGGTCAATCTGTATCGCCGTGTAAGCTTTATGCACGAGGAGGCATGTGGTGGTGCCACCTATACAGGAGCAGTATCCAGACAGGGAAGGAGCAGGGCCAGATTCTTGGAGCGCCAAGACGGCCGGCTGAGAGCCAAGTGAGCTGAGGAAAAGGGAAAGATGTGAACGCTTTTGCCTGTTCCCGAAGCCTACAGGGTTCCAGTGTATGATCTCGAATTTAGACGCAATGTTTGAATGGGACGTACGATTGGTAGCCATCGTGACTGTCTTAGGTTTTATATTTGGTCCTCCATATCCCGCTCGGAATCCTCAGAGGCAGAGAGGGGCACGGAGGCCAGATTGTCTGACGGCGGTGTGGTAATAGCCACCTTACGACGACGCCGTGGAGCTGTACCCTCACTGCTCACCGAGCAGGAGCGGGAACGCGAAGCCTTGGGTTGAAACTGGGTGATTGCCCAGGCTTGAATAGCCTGGGTAACCTCTACTACTATGCGTTGGACCGAGAAGCTGGTGAGGAGGTGATTAATCGAAGCTTCGACGCGCGTGAGGCGTTCCTCTACGCGCGGGGTGCGCTCTTCGCTAGGGCGAGTTTGGTTAGCGGGCAAGAGAACCTAAGGTGCCCCAAGAGCCTCAAGAGTTTCTGGAGTAGATGTGGCACCGGTTCCGAGTGCTGGAATACGCATGGCTGCTTGAACCGGCGGTTTAATGGGAGTGGACTTAGCTCGAGGACTAAGCTTAGACGTAGCTGGCGTAGCCGCCTGGACAGAGGAGGCAATACCGGATGGCCTTGCAGTACACTGTTGTTGTGGTTGAAGTCGCTTATTTAAGAGTTCGAGTTGTTTAGTTAAAAGAGAATTTTGCTTTTGAAGTGCCGCAACCTGCTGGCGAAGGGCCGCAAGTTCGGGAGAAGGAGGATCGACAGAAGGGGGTGAGAGAGGCTTAGAAGCAGCTTTCCCTGCCCAACTGCTCACCTGAGGTACCGCCGCTGGTGCTTCGAGCGGTGGGAATGCTTGAGTGTCGGCGTGGAGTGGTGGAGCCGAATGATGCAGGGTTGTGCATCTGTCTGACTGTGACGAACATGAGGTGGTCCCTCGAGGAGATGTTGAGGGCTGCTTGCGTTTCCGATATTTTCGATATTTTGCCGTGCAGCCACTGGTCCCAGTCTCATGGGCGCCGAGGCAGAGGAGGCACTTGGGGTGGCAGTCGTGGGCATTGAGACCTGCAGGTGCGGGGGTTCCACGTTTGGCACACTGGGTTGGAGCGGGATGAGGACACTGAGGTGGTCGATGACCGATCGTACCGCACTTGGTGCAAACAGGGACCGTTTTCTTGTAGGCGCGGATATACGTCGCCACGCAGTGGTAGAAGAGGAAGCGGGGTAACTTCGTGCTCTCGAAAGTCACCACCGCCGCCGCGGAATCTCCGAGTTTGCGGACCGCAAGGATAGTACCTCGCGGCCAATACAGTTCAGACTTTATTTTCTCCGGGCTTTCAGCAGGGTTTACGTTGATGACGCCCTTGCATGTATCCCCTGGTGCCTTGGCATGGCCTCGAACGGGCAGCTGCTGATCCCCCACTTGCAGCTGGAAGTCCCCGAGGAGTCGCTGTGCCATAGGCAAAATGGTGATGCTACAGACCAAGATGTTCTGTTCCCAGATTGGCCACACTTGAATTTGCGTGGTAGTCCGGTCGCCGAGGTAGCTGTGGATGGCATCGCCCGCGCGATCGGCCGGGACAAATGTGCGTAGCTCGCAGGGAACGCGAGGTTTCACTACCACGATGTAGTCGTCGCGAGAGAGGCGAGGAGCTTGACGCGGACGCCACTTGCGTTGCTTCGCTGGCTGCGAGGACGGAGCAGAGGTAGGCACACCACCGGAGGGATGGCGCGCCGGCGTTCCTTGCAAGGCTGGGGAATGGTCGCCCGCTGTGGCGTCTCGTTGTTGTTGAGACGCAGACTTCGATTTCGCTTGCGTGCGTGGCCACAGTCTCACCATGTCGTCGAGGTATTCATCTTCTGATGGCATAGTGTTTTCGGAGGATGAAATCTCCATGGACAGCGTTTGGCTTGAGGCAGGATCATAGCCCGTAACCACGTTAGCGGCCGCCATCGCCGGGCTGAGAGCCCTTAGAGAGGCGGCGTTGTAGCCGGGAGTGAAGGACGTCCCTCAAGTTGTCAAAACTGGATTCACCTGGACGAAGGTGTTGTCTAGGCGAAGCGGAGAACTTGGCTTTGACGATAAATCCAAGTTTCAGGGGTACCAAGGTGGATGTCCGCAGAAATAGCAGGAAATCTACGGAGGCGATGTGGAGTGCGTCCGTCACCATCGAGCGCTCGCAGCGCCCCCCTCAAGTCTGACAGCACCTGCAGAATGAAGGAGTGTCGGAGATTGTCGAAAGCTTTTTCCACATCAAGTCCAACACACACCTTAGAGTCCCTTAGAGTCCACCTTAGAGTCCACACCTTAGAGTCCCTTGTGCGCACAGATCAAGTAGGTGATGCTTAATTCTGAGCATAGCATCTTGAGTCGAAAGGCCGGGACGAAAACCTATCATCGAGTGCGAAAAGACACCATTTTCCTCAACATAACGCGTTAGCCTGTTTAAAATGACATGCTGAGTGACTTTCCCCAAACACGATGTTAGCGAAATTGGTCCGAGGTTTTTGAGCGCTACGCTCTTGCCCGGTTGATTACCGAGCCGGTATTTTTGCGAAGCCTCTGCTCCGTCCATCTGTGCCCCGTCGTTCAGTCACCTCGACTTGTGAACCGTCATCATCTGGTGCAGGCTTCGTCGGAAGTCTTGATTTCCGGTTGGACACCGTCCGCCATCCTAGACCTTCAGTAAATTCCTCTGCCGACAGCACTTCCCCTTCTACTTTATAGCTGCAATGCCAGACGCGCGTCCCGCTACGTAGAGCTGCCAGACCTACTTTTGGCCGTCCACGGGTCGTTTCTTTTTACTTTAGCCAAGTCTTCGAAAACAAAACGACGCGATTACACGCGATCGACAAATCACGCATGGTAGCCCACGCGTGGCCGTTAGTTGGATGGCTTTGGTATGTCATCGCTTGAGGAGCGAATTTCGGCTCGCATGCGAGTGCAAAATTTGGACCTGTATAGTAGCGCCAGAGCTACATGCTTCGACGGACGACAGCGGTCGCGACGAATCCGACGGATCACCCCCATTGCCACCACCAGCCGCAAGCCTGAAGAATGCAGATAGGCAAATAATTTCGCATGTCGCAGCGATCGCATTGACAAGCTCGCGTGCTTCTACTGGAATCGAGCTACTCTGCAAACGCCACGCGCATGCGCCTCAGTTTCCCAGCATAGGCCACGAAAGCAGCGCCGCTTTTCACGCTCTACTTCTTTGACCTTGAAGGCCGCATATAAACAAACGAAAGTGAACAATAACATACATATTCAAAATTTAGGCCCTTACTTTGGTGCTCTTTAATTAATCTCAGCAAAGTGATAATGACATCATATTAGTGGTTCATGGTTCTTGCGCTAAGGGCGCGAAATGCCGGTTTTAATTACTTTTGAACGTGTTTTAAAAATATAAGTCCAACTCAGATCTCGAAAAGCATGCTGTTACCTGCCACCATATTTCACGCTCTTTTCCTTTTCACCGGAATCTAATAGCCAGTTGTGGCCATTTGTGGGTCTTTCACATTGCTGCTAACGCAAACATTAAGGGGCTATGACGCACACCTTTGGATCATAATCCTTATTATGTGGATTAATCTTTGTGGACTGACAAACAACCTGAAAGAATTTCAGCCGTTTCAGTCGAGTACCTAATTCATAATCCATTAACCCATTTACAATTATGAGCGGCATCATTGTAGAGAAACACTCGCGAGCCGTCGAGCCGTGTCGTAAGTTTCATGCTGTGTGGGTGCCCGCGTTTCGGTGAACGGTTTCGTTCCCTACTCACATGGGGGTCCGGGACCACACCAACTAGGTTTCACACTACGTGGGCGTGTACACTTCACAATGAAGAACAGCCCAGCATGATCGACACAGAGGAACAATGGGAAGCACTGCTGTTCCGCCAGGCTTTTGACGGTCAGCTTTGGCCTAACTAACCAGTCGTTGTTTATCATCTGCTCCGCATCGTTAACGTGATTATTATGAACTTTTCTTTTATGGTTACTTTCGCTTTTCGAAGCGTCTGTCCAGCTGGGAGGTCTTCTTGTAGCGGTAGACAGCGAGGAGCTACAAGTGCACAGCTCTGCACGTGCGCGAAAACGGGCGGCAGAGTGGCGGAAAGAAAATGGCTCGTCCTGCAAGAGATGGCGCTGCCTGTGCAGAGTTGCTCTTTCTCTCGTAGTTTCCTCACAGAACACCTGTTTCCACGCGTCGCGGCATTACTTGGCGTTGCATCATCCTTTCCTTCTCAAGCTTGGAGTTCGCTCGGCAGCGTTCTGAGGGGGAGAGGAAGCGCGCACTTGGCGCCTTTTGATGCTTGTTTATTGGTTGCGTCGGCGTCTGTCGCGTCAGATCGGCGCCTGCCGTTCGCACAGCCGTCAGAAATCGGAAGGCGCGCGCTTTCTCGAGCGCTCGTGTGTGCCACTTGCCCCGCCACTCGAGTGGCCACTCTTGACGAGAGTGTGTTTTTCTACGATCTCACCACCATGTCTGACCTTCGACGAGTGCACCGTTTCCGCGACCAGGCCGTCGCAGGCATCAACTGGCGACCAACCCGCTTTGTCGACGAGGTGCCCAGTCTGCGTGTGTGTTGCCTCTGCCGCATGATTCCCAAGACGGTACTGGCGCTTCCCTGCGGCCACCTCCTATGCCAGTCGTGCCTCGCAGCCAGCTCCCATGGAAGCGGTGGACGGTGTCCCTTGGATCGAGAGCCGTTCAAAGAGGCGGAATGTTCCACCTGTGATTTGGCTACGAGATCAGTGAACGCCTTGAAGGTGAGAAAATAATTCCGGTTATTATTTGGAAGAATTCTTTTGAATATGGGCGTGCACAGCCATGTGAAACTTGCTGTACCGTGTACGCGAGCTCGGGTAATTATTGCTTTACAGCCAACATTTATCACGGAACTTGTTTTAGGGGTGAATTTCCCGAAGGCACTGGTCTGTCCATCCCTTGTATGTATGTACGTGACCGCGCATAGTTCCACCTTTGCCAACTGCCCACTACTTCGTCCTTGTAAACATACCACAGCACCCCATCACTGATCATAAACAAATACTGCCGAAATGTAGCCAATCTGAAATGCAAGATGGTCGTTCGCCCAACTCTTCATCATTCGCTTCGTGTATATGCTGTGATAATTTTTTACTGCGTATCTTGAGTCGAGATATTAAATAAGGATTCCTAGGAACCGTGAGGCAAGACGTTTTAGCCTTGAGCTGCTTCTCGTGCAGTAACTGAGATGACTAGAGGCGTACTATCTTGGTCGTTAGACGTACGTTGTTTCGTAGGTAGCAGTCACCAGGGCCTCGATACGCTTGAATCAACCCATAGATTGTTGACGAACTTCGAAAGTTATTAGAAATCGGCAGAATAACAAGATTACTTTGGCTCAGATATTAGAGTGACACTCGGGTGCCATGAAAAAATGCTCGGGTAAAATCGGTTAGTACCGATCAGTTCATGCATTTTCGAAAATCTTGCCGCTGAAATCTATGCGCCCTGTCTACATGCTCAAGACTGATTCCGTATTTTATGAGCGATAACCGCTTCAAGAGTCAAGTGGTTCAACATGCGTTCCTCCCAGTGGAAAGTGTTCAGATACCGAGGTGCTATCAACAAACATAAACTGTTCAGTCAGGTTATCTTGTTTCGAAGATAAAACATTGGTGTGTACGCTTGAGCTTCCACTTCAAGAACAGAGCGTGACAGCGTGATTGGGCCTCGTTCGCGGCTTCTCATTCGCTAACTAGGCCTTCCTTCTCGATGGGCAGCACGACCATGCCGCGACAATCGCGATGCGTGTATTCGGAATGCCCATGGCCGATAGGTGGCGCGCTGTGCAATCCAAGATGGCTGCGCAGGGATGATCAACCCGCGAACTCGCATAGTAGAAGATAGGACGCGCGGACGTACTCCCCGTGCCGCTTTCACTAGATGAACTCTTGATCGTCAAGTGAATGTATATCGGACCAAAAGTACTTTCCCAAACTATAGGAACTGCTGAATGTTCGCGACCTCATTTGAGCCGCCGTGCGAAGGGTGGTGGTGTCGGCTGACCGTCAGTGTATCAACGATGCTTTGCGTGACCCTGTGCGTGCTACATAAAACTGCGCGAATCAGAATTCACGTAGGGACTGAATGTCACTTCGAGGTAATTTGTGCCGAGCCTGCCGGGTGAATTTGCGGCAGTAGTAGGCCACTAGCGAGTAGCGTGCCGTCGCGGCTGCACAGGACCGTATTTCTACCGTATAGCAATGGCTTGCAAACATATTACATCGTCGTCACGATTTATTTATTTATTACGTACTGCAGACCCTTAGCTACAAGCAGGTGGGCAGTTACAACAGGACATCGTTGACACAATAAGTGGCATAAGGATTGTTTGGGGTGAGTTTCATACACTATTTGTGAGCACAAGGAGCGACATAGATAATTATTTCATAATAACGCATGTACCGGACAAAAGAGAAAAAGAAAACACCGCAAATTCATACTTCATATGTTGTGCCATTGAAGTAAAAATAAATACATAATAAATGCAAAACAATAAACACAATAATTTTCACTGTTGCGCTGTGAGCCACATGCAGCTGCTTCTTTAACGGAACACTAGCATTCAACTTCCCATTACGTCGCGTTTTTTGTCACAGCCATGATCAGACTCTTAACATATGTGCGATTCGCTGCACTTGGTTGTTGCAGGTTCCATCAGCGCGTTCGAAACAAGGATATCGAAAGTAATAAACGCGTACGCTTTTCGCAACGCCAAAATTGTGAAAATTTGTCGAACAACAACGTTGTTCGGATGGTACCGGTAAAGTGCTGGGGAAGTTAGCGTGGACTGTAACAGCATATTTCGTTGCTCAAACCATTTCGCTTCGCTGGTCGATCTCGAGCGTATTGGCGGCATGCGGCGTTTTGTAATGTTTACTGTAATTGGGCTACATGCAGTGCACACAAAAAAAACCATGTTTTTTTTATTTTGAGCTCGCTAAAGTATGTTATACAATAAACACAATCAAAGTGACTTACGAGCGTGAAAAAAAAAACATTAATGCAAGACGGGACAGAAAGTGCAACTCGCTGCTCGTGAGCTAGCAGCTGATCGTTCATCGTCGCTGTCACTCTCAGCGCGTTCACAACCATCTACGTACCGTGAAAAATCCTCGAAATCGAGACAGTTTCTTTGAACATCAGTGCTGAAAGTAATCTGAGCAATTCTTTCCGCTGAACGTCTTCCATAGCATCAACAACGCGTCATTTTACAATCGATGCGCCCTGTCTACGTGTGCAAGAGCGATTCCCTATTTTTCGAGCAATAACCGCTTCACAAGTGAAGGGATTCAATATACTTTCATCCCAGGGAAACGAAGTGTTCAGATACCGAGCTGCTATTAACAAACTTAAGCTGTTCAATCAGGTTATCTCGCTTCGAAAATAATCAGACGCGGATCAATCAGTCTCTATGCGGCTGCATGCTTTCTTCCTGCTTTCTCGAGGGCCTGGTTATATCTGGGCAACTAAGTGACCCACGGGTCGCACGATAATTAAGTTGTCGTGGTTTTTCGATTCCATTCCTCTGTCACCGAATATCACTTGCCTTACTGTGACTCCACATGCCTCGCCGCGGTGGTATAGTGGCTAAATTGATGACCCGCAGGTCGCGGGATCCAATCCCGGCAGCGGCGGCTGCAATTTCGGTGGAGGCGAAAATGCTGCAGGCCCGTGTGCTCTGATTCGGGCGCATGTTAAGCATCCGGAGCCATCCACTACGGCGTCTCTCATAATGATATGGTGGCTGTGGGACGTTAAACCCCACTTATCAATTACAGTGAATCCTCGCATTAAGTGACGCCTGTGAAGTGGCCATTTGCAGGCATAGTATAAAGTATTTGCGTGACTCTGTCTCTGAACGCTTCCTTCATAATAATTATGGTGACGATGATGGTGATATGAAGTGGTTATTGGCTTGAGGGCCGCTGATGGTAAAAGAGCGCCGAGAAAGTAGTTAAAGTGTTATAATACTGTGTAACGTGGCTGTATAATAGCCTGAAATACTGTGCACAGAGCTTATATAAATATTAAATCATGTGTTAGGCGACAGTTGAATGAGTAAAAACGGCGACATCAGTGAAAATGTACTCTAGTTTGGTAAAATACGAGGGAACTACTACTTCGCAATCACAGAACTGCTCCTTTTTGTATGTCCCTGCCGATGCGGCAGCTTGAATTTATCTAAAAATATGAAGTGGTGCATAACTGTAGAAAAGCTCGCGAAAAAAGGGGCACAGCATTGAATATGACACCGGTGACCTGCCGCTGAAGAGGCGTGATATTACGAAATGTTTTGGAAATGCGGCGATAACATGTCCTCGGTAGACCAGTAATTTTACTCGGGTAAATATTATCAGCTTCTTTGTAAATGAGGGAATAAATGACAGCAAAGTAACTGGGAAAAAATGTTTAAGCTCAAAAATAAACTTTAGATGGGGTGATTCTGGGAAATATTTAATATATCTAAAAGAGCTTGCTTATCAAATGCTTGTTCAGCAGCACAAGTTCTCTTTGAAGAGTTCAGAAGAGAAACATAAAAAAAATTATAATATTTCATTTCTATGGAGTGTCATGTGAATATGGCAGAAAATAGGCTCTACAGTGCACGTCTCTGTTTTGAAAAGATAACTCGCATCTCCGAAACTTCTTGTCTTCATTTGTTTCTTTCTTCCTTTTGCAACGAAGGTTCACTGCTGGAATGATGGACAGGGATGCAAATTTGAGGGAGCCATGGAGATCATGCTGCGACACTATGAAAACGAATGCACATTCCACGCCGTGGAATGTTTCCGATGCGGCGAGCAAGTCCTGCACAGGGAACTGCCAACGCACTACGCCGCCGGATGCAGTGCAGCTGTTTGTTTAACTAGCACTAAGGACACACCATCGGTCTCTCAAGCCTTGACCCGCCAAGATGTGACGGCTGCCCTCGTAGAACTTAAGACGCTGCTGAAGGGCGCCAATCAGGAGCTGCTGCTACCTGCGATTCAGAGTCAAATAAATGAGCTAACTGAACGGATCAGGAACTTGGAATCCACGTCGGCCACGATCACTCATGCTGTCGCGGCAACTGCAACGTCAGATATGGCTCGAATCGAAGTGCCGAGTCCCTCGGCCTCGGTGAAGAGGGAAACTTCTCGGCAGAATCCAACTGAAGAGGCAAGCACGTCGTCGACGTCCCGGTCCAGCTCGGGGGAGAAGTTGATGCCTCAACAGCTGGGACCCCTTGTGGACTTGACACGAGAAGTTATGAAAGGCATGCGCAAAACTTCATCGCAAGATTATCCTCAGCATGCCATTACTTATGTCCGTGGGAATGCTCGATGTCAATTAGAGTTAGGTGGGATGTTGCCAACAGCAGTTACGTGGAGGGAAGTACGTGGAACCATGAAATATATTCTGACGCTCGAAAATTTTTTTTACTCGTCGCTCAGCGCACACAACCTGGCTGATGCCACAGTGTTGCACACAAGGGACGCGTACTTGACATTTAAACTTTTCGGCAGTTTCGCTGACCTTCGTGTGGATATTACGTTTCATGGCATGCGTGGAGAATCTAAAAGTTTGGCTCCCGTTTTTTTCTGCAAGGTCTACTGTCTTAACACAGGTAGAATTCTTCCAATGTCTATGCATGAAGAACTGCAGGACTGTAAGCACGATCGAAACTTATGGACGCATCGTGGCCTCATATATACCATAGGCTGTGGTACCCTGTCACAGAGAAACGACAGAGTCGGAATCAAGGTGGAACTTGAGCTTTGTCATCAATGAGAACTCCCGGGCGCAAACTTCAGTGCGTACTTTTCGTTTAGTGAGTGAGTGCATTCTGTTTCTTTACTTTGTATGTCCAGCGATATCGGAGTTAAGTCGCACGATCACACAACCATGAAGCCTAGAGCTTTTCAGCATTGGGCGCATAAATATTGCACTGCTTGACCTATTTTGCATTTTGTGTGCGTGTGAATTTGTGTAAGTGAAGTTCCGAGATTCTGTTGGAAGCTTCGGTTCCCGAATAAAGCACGTTGTGCGTCTGTTTCAAAAAATAAACCGTTTTTTAGGGGCGAAGCTCCTTATAGCGGCACCCGTTCGTCTCTCGTAGTCGTAGTAGTAATCGTAGTGTGTAACCAGTCTTACATTTTGACCTCCAAGACGGTGCCGGTGAGAGATTTCTTCTGCGCATTGTTGAACAGTAAAAAATTCGCAGCGTGTGCGTTAACTAAAAGCCGAATTATCCTGTCTCTCATTCTTCATTAGCAGTCATTGGCATGTACATTGAGCACTATCTGACAAGAAAGGGTTGCTACGTTATGCTCGCTGGGCGTAACTTCTTTGGTTTTAGAAAGGTTTAGCGAGCGTTGGGCCACAGTGCCATGAATACCGTGAACTAGTATATACCATAAACTCGGCGTGTTTAAAGGTGGGAGGTAGACACGAAGCCCACGTCGTAAGAATGTGTGCGTGTGCCTCCTCTCGTTTAGTCTTTGGAATGTCTGCTGGATGGTGGTGCATATGCGGAATATATGATGAAAAGATGCGAGATGGGGGTACTTGGAGTGTTGATTAGGTGGACGAACGGACACACAGACAGGTGCATGGACGGACTCGCCGATGGCTGCACGAACGCATGGACGGATGCAGGGGCGGATGCATGGACGAATGCAGGGATGGACGCACAGATGGACGTGTGGACGCACGAACAGACGCACGGACGGGCGAATGGACGCATGGATGGTCACACAGACGGGCGTATGGACAGACGGAAGCAAGAACGAATGGATGGACGGATGCTTCGCCCCACTCTCCATCATTCACTCCGTGGATATGCTGCCATTTGTAATTTATGAAACAGTCTTGACAATATCGTTCTTATTCAGTTCTATACATTTAGGATTTAGTTTTAGGTTTGCTCGGGTATTTATATAGTTTGAGGTTAGATGAAATCCTGCATTAGGTTTCAATAATGGGGCTTTGTTTAATTCTGTTTAGCGAAATCAGCCGATGTGTACTCGTTCACACGATGTGTACTCGATTGGCACTTTAAATAATAGTTATGATATGCCAATGGCAATACTGTCAAAGAACACCATATTTAACATTCGGGTCATCCGTGCCGTCATCACAGCCGATCCACGTAGTGGTGCTAAATATGCGCCAGCTGGGAACTATACAGCTGGGAACTGCGCCATACAGTTTTTTTTTGTCTACATCGCGCCTTTGTTGTGCCAGAAGGTGGTTTTGGAACCGAAAGTAATGTTGACAGCAGGCATCATGAGCGGGATGGCCGTCATCTTGTACACTTGCGCTTCTGCATTTGCGCTGCTGAAAAGCCGCGGAATCGGCCGATCAATTATTCCGACTTCCGTGCGACTACAGCGGAGCCTTTTGTGGTAACCATTGGCAAAGAACGAAGGCGACGTGGCAACCAACGAAAAGTGCGCCAGTAGGACTTGTCGCCGACAAAAAGCCTACGTGTGGGGCGTAGCGCTGGTTTAAGCCTACTGCACGCTTTTAAAAGCCGACGACTACCTGACAGCGCTGAGGCACCGAGCGCTTCCGCCTCAATCGTTGTGCTGGACCGTGCTCAGCGTGCACCGCTTTACAAAAACGAAGGCAGCTTGCTGTTGCAGATTCGAGCGTTGTAGCAAATGGTTGTGGATCGTGGGCCCCGAGACACCAAGCGTATAACACAAGCTTTCAAAAGGCGACAGCCCAATAGCACCTCCGTCCGCTGCCAGGGCCACTAGGGCATTGCTTGCAGAAAGCTCGCATCGACGCGCCGTTAACGCAACATGTCTTCTCGCTGCATCTGTGCATGGTCTGAAGCGGAGTAGGCGCGAGCGGCTCGGTACGGTGTACTGTACGTCAAGTAGGCGAAGTGCTGCACGCAACTAGCCAGTAGACAATTAGCTGCCTACTACCACAGTCCTTCAATACGTTTTTCTGGTCACGAAACTGCCACCTCTGTTTAATATGGAGCTACCGCCGGCCGCTAGGGGTGCTACAGTCAAAGAAGCCATCTCGCCGAGCGGCTGCTGCAGACTACGCTTGCATTTTTTTTTCTTCTTCTCGGGTTCGTCGCGGCCGGAAGTCCGGCTCCTTCTAGACATCATTTACACTATACTTTCTCGCTGAAATTATACTAACATACTAACTAAACTGGAACTTCTCAGAATTTTTGCTTACCGAAGACATGACGCATACAGAAAAGTGAACAATCTCAGTCAGCAGGTGGTTCAGTGTACCAGCAGACGACGCGCACGGACCCATTCCTACTGCTAATTGTGTGTTTTGCTGGCCCAACAGGTATCGAATAAAAACATTTCACGCGACTGTGATACGTTCAGAGGATGAGACATCAGCAGCGCTGTCAGTAAACGAAACTTGAGCTCAATAACACTATCGGTCCGGGAGAGGCCGATAGTGTTACCTTGTTCATAGCGAACGACACACATCATGAGGAAGGTTGCCAACCACCACAGACTTGGCATGATGTTTTCATCACCTAAGAAACTTTCGTGGATGTGCTCGCGAATTTCGAGCGCCGAAGAGCGAGCTAGCCTCATGAAGCTTGCCAACCAGGTGGTGCAATGCCATGTGGGAGTTCTGTACAAGATTCCCCCTTGCGTCAACGCCCCGCCGTGGTGGTCTAGTGGCTAAGGTACTCGACTGCTCACCCGCAGGTCCCGGGCTGGACTCCCGGCTGCATTTTTGATGGAGGCTAAAATTCTGTAGGCCCCTGTTCTCAGATTCGAGTGCACGTTAAAGGATGCCAAGTGTCCGAAATTTCCGGAGCCCTCCACTACGGCGTCTCTCATAATCATATGGTGGTTTCCCAATCGATTATCCGAACAGCGGGTTGTCCGAATGCGTACAAGGCGTTTTGCAGTCAGGTGAAATCGGGCCGCGATGACGTAAGCTGAATGCTTACACGCATTACGCCAGCACTGTTCTTCCGTTACCTGCTCAGCTCTGGGAACCAATCAGCCATTTTGTGAGCACTCATTGGTTAGTGAGATGTCTCAGTACGACATTTAATCTGTCTGGCTCGAAACGGCCCCACCGTGGTGGTCTAGTGGCTAAAGTACTCGGCTGCTAACCCGCAGGTCGCGGGATCGAATCCCGGCTGCGGTGGCTGCTTTTCCGATGGAGGCGAAAACGTTGTAGGCCCGCGTGCTCAGATTCGGGTGCACATTAAAGAACCACAGGTGGTTGAAACTTCTGGAGCCCTCCACTACGGCGTCTTTCATAATCATATGGTGGTTTTGGGACGTTGAACCCACATATATATCTTCCCGCGGCAAATTTTATGTGGGTCAAAGAAGCCGCTGCGTAAACGACCGTTCATGTGAATACCCGCTGTCGATCATAATTAATTAAATAGCGAACTCGCCCGCTCACTGCGCAGCCTGGGAATACAAGGTCGTACCCAGGAATAATTTTTGGGAGGTGGTCATGCGCAGAATGGCCAACCTTGGCTATTGTTGATTGATGTGAAGGCGTGTATATACTTCAGTATCACAAAAAAAAAGCACGAAAGAACTTCAGGGGGTGTAAGAACCACGCAACCCTCTTGCCTCCTAGTTACGGTGTGGTGCCATCATCACCATCGTCATTTTTTCCATCACCGCGCCGCGTCTCTCGCGCAGCTGGCGCGAGCTCGAGCTGCGCGAGGAATAGAACGAGCTGACACGCCTGGCGTGGCGGACGCTGGTAGCCGACGTGGCTCCGCTTCAGGCCTGCAATAAAGTGGCGAGATCGGCACGGCCCCATCGGCCGCCTTCGACGTCGTCTCACGTCTCTCTTCTCTCGCCGCTACATTGGTGACCCGGAGAACACGCCCTTCGCCGAGCGGCCCGCGGCCATGTTCCCCAACTCTGCCCACCAGTGCCGCCGTACAATCAACTTACCCCAAGGTATGGTTCATGCAGCTCGACGCCGTTCTTGCGGTGAATGGCATCACGGACCAGCTGCTGATGCACGCCATTCTTCTCGACGCCCTACCGGTAGAGTTGCGCCATCTCGCTGCCACTTCAAGCACCAGCCCGCAGCCTTACGATGCCCTCGGCACTGCGGTGCTCGCCCGCAGCGGCAACACATACCGTCCGCTTCCGTTTACCCGCACCAGGCAGGTTTTCCCCGGCGTCGCAGAGCAAGGTACGAACCAGTCCGCAGCCCTCCATTGACCGCTACCTCGTTACCCCAGCTTCGACTACTTCTACACCTGATCCGGTCGCAGAAACATCCACTCCTGCACCTGATCACGACCACGAGGTAGAAGACTCCCCCACTGCGACTGAGCTTCCCTCCGAGAGGTACATTCCCTCAGAGCCCCCCGTGCAGAGCTTCATCACACGTACCTGCTACCTGCACGTTTTCCAAGAAAGCGACGGCACGCGACACCGTGGCCCCTCGCCGTTTCCGCGACCACCAGCTCAGACGTCCGGGTCACCAATGTAGCGGCGAGAGAAGAGGAGACGTGAGACGGCGCCGAAGGCGGCCGATGGGGCCGTGCCGATCTCGCCACTTTATTGCAGGCCTGAAGCGGAGCCACGTCGGCTACCAGCGTCCGCCACGCCAGGCGTGTCAGCTCCGTTCTAATCCTCGCGCAGCTCGAGCTAGCGCCAGCTGCGCGAGAGACGCGGCGCGGTGATGGAAAAAATGACGATGGTGATGATGGCACTACAACGGTCTTGTGTGGATGTGGAGCACGATTTAAACAAACTAAGATACTGGGGCATAGGAAAAACATGTATGCTCGTGAGGTTTTGGAAGCGTTCTTTATGGACACGAAAAATGATATAGTTGCAAGTGAGACCTTGGTATCGTCTTAGGATATATACGTATAAGGGGAATCAGCGCGCGATATTTCTGGGCGTGTTTGCGCGGATATGTTCGGTTTGCCTATTTTAGCGACGCTGTATGCCCTCAATATAAACAGATAGCAGTTCGCGCTCTATCTGCATAGTGTTCCTTCTTTGTGGTGCCCTTTTCCATTTAGCGCAACTTTTCCTGCATATAATGAACCGGCTATCTCTCTTCAATACTTC